ATCAAATATTCCTCGCCTCATGTTTCGACACATTCGGCCTCGAAGACAGACATCAAAGACGAGACTATCAAAGCTCTGATGTTTATTGAATATGGTCGTCACCGTGGTTTCCCCGCAGAAGAGCTACTCGTCCATGAAATCACCAGGTCCGCTTTCTTCTTGGTTGACAAGGATGGCTATGTGAAAAAGAGTGTAAAATCCCAGTTGGCGACAGAGTTGTTGAAGCTACGCCCAGAAATAGACGCAAAAGGCCCGACAACACCTCCAGCAACCAAAGCTTATATTATCGACTTCATGGCGATGGTTAGAAAAATCCCATTGAAGAAACTGGAACCACCTGTGAAGACATTCAACGACTTTGCAGCTGCCCTGACTAAAATGATCGTCAACGCTGGAGGCAACAGTGATGAAATACACATAGTTTTCGACACTTACAAGGAAGACAGCATCAAGAATGTAGAAAGACAGAGAAGAGGAAAGTCAAATGAAATGATTGTTTTGGATTCGATTTCTCCAAACCATCGAGTCCCCGTTAAACTGGAGAACTTTTGGTCTTCTTCCGCTAGCAAAACCGTATCCCAAGCATTCTATGTCGAATGGCTCAAAACCAACTACGATGGAAATAAACCGCTATACCTTGGTAGATCTCCAAAAGCATGGTTCGTATCGGCAGGACGTGCATCTCCATTCCCTGGACTTGATTGTACACATGACGAAGCTGATGATAGGATGATATTTCATGTTCAATATATTTTATGTCACGAATCTGGTCCCACTTCAATTACGCTCTCCTCGGGTGATACAGATGTTTTCGTATGCCTCTTGTACGACTTTGTTGTCAACTGGAAACATCTTGGTCTTGATGAATTATGGCTTATACGCAATTCAGGCCTAAAACGTTCAATATTGCCACTGACGAAGATATGTCTCACGCTTGAAGAAGAATTAATAAAATGTCTTCCTGCACTTCATGCACTAACTGGATGCGATACAACCAGCAAGATAGCCACGAAATTAGCAGCTCTCAACGCTATTCGCATTCCAAGGAACCTCCCACTCCTCGCAAATTTTAATTGTCCACAACTGACAGACAACGCGATAAAATTGGCAGAAATTTTTTTGGTCAAGTGCCTCAAACCATCTACGCACTTGGAAACATTTGATGAGCTACGTATCGATACATTTGACGACAATGCCCTGAAATTAGACTTCGAAAAAACAGCCTGCACCAGTACGAACATTAGGATGCATATCCAAAGAAGCTATTATCAATCGCAGCTGTGGATTCAAGCCCCATTTAGAGATGCAACAACGCTTTTGAATGCCGAAGATTATGGCTTTGAAAGAAAAAACAATTTAATTGTTCCTGAAATTGTCATCACCAAACCTGAGGGCCTTTTGGATCCGTGCAAGCAGGGCGCTGTAAAACACGGGCGGTGAAACGGAGATAGCGCCCCTGATCTTTGTGTGATGCGCGTACCCCCCGTATACATTATTTAATGTAAATAAAATGGCGGATAGCATGAGCGAAATGTTGGATTTGGAAGAGGAAAATACACCAACGCCTTGCCTCACAAATCCACAAAACTTAAACTGGATTTTTTCTGAACATGGTCAAGCATTTTTTCGCACGGTTCTTAATACCGTTGGTCTTGCAGGAAGCGAGACGATGGAGTCCAGGGCGGCAAGAGCATATTTTCTCACACCGAGAAAACTCAAAAAAATATCGATGTTGCTGTTGAATTTTTGAAGGAGATATCAACCTGTTTTCAGGTTTGTTACCAAAACATTCAAGATATCAAATGTTTAAACAAGAAGATGGTGCATCTTGAGAGGAGTTTTGTGACTTTATGCGATAATTTATCAATAAAAAACAAATGGTGTTTACTATTAAATTCTTGTGGCCTGCAAACATCTGATGGGACCAACATTGTTTTAAATCATGTCCTGCAGCATTTTTGGAGTTCTGTAGTTTTAGAAAATTCTGGTGAATTAGATGAGAACAGTGCAACAATAGATTTATCCACAACCTCTGCTGGCTCTGCAGCTTGTAGCTCAACAACCAGTTCAGAATCTACTCAATGTGTTGATGAACTTGAAAATATTGAAGCAAAGTCTATTCAAGAACATGCTGGCTGGGTATGTAAGCGTGTTAGAGATTTATTCAAAGATGGACCAGAAGTACACAAAATTCAGTTGTCAAAAACAAACAATGTTCAAATAGAAGTGGGTAACACAAAATTCAGTTGTCAAAAACAAACAATGTTCAAATAGAAGTGGGTAAGCATTTCATACTGTCATTAATTCAACGGTTGGGGCATGATGCCTTGGTTTAGCCTGGAAGATTTTTATTTACCCCAATTCCAGATGTGTTGGAGGTTTTTGTTTACCTGCACAATATTATTGAACAGATTGTTAAAGAAAGACTTGAAACATGTGCGGACAAAGACATATTAAAAACATGTTTGAAGTTTTTGAGCGAAGATCCAAACCTACGTAAACTGTGGCAAAAATTACTAGGAAATGAAGATAATGACAGTTTTCGTGCTGGTTCTGTGGTATTACTGCAAAGAGTTGTTGGAATGTTTTTGAAATCGAAGCAGCAAATCATCCGAGAGCAACTGCAACTGAAAGCTAATAAACAAAGCTCATCATTACGGCAAACTATTACTAAAAGCCAAAGAAGAACCCGAATGAACCTGTTGAATGCCTTGTTGCATTTCGTGGAAATCCAACAGATGCTTCTACTGTAGTGGCATTTTTGACTGATGTTTTTATGAAATCTGAACCTTCTGTCATACTTGGAAAATTGCATGGAAATGAACTTACTGCAATACTACAGTCATTGGGCTTGCCTGGTTTGAATGGGAAGGGAAAGAATCGACAAATTGAGCTATTGGTCAACCATCATGTCAGTGGTAAAGATTGGAATATTGTTTTCCCTGACAAGGTTAGTCATTAATCATTGTTATCACTCAAAATCAAATGGGTGGGCTGGTGGAATTTAGTGAATTCCTTTAATTTTTTGCATGACCCACCCTTTCATACTCTTTCTTGCCAGTTACCCACCACCAAAACGAAATTTTTTAGATGACTCTCTGCCATCTCAGAAAGAAACAAGTTTTTTTAATGAAGATACTGGCAATGGTTGACTGCCTTCCTATACCTTTAATTCCTATACTATTATGAACTTCTTGGTTTTTTTTTAATAAATTGGTTTTTCCACAAAACAATTAATATTATTGATAATAATTTTTTAATAAGTAATACAAGCATTATGATTTTAATTTTTAGTTAAAAAGAAAGAAATAAGTGGCCATGGTTCATTTGATGGTATGAAGAATACCAATTTGTATGTTAATTAATTAATAACTGTTGCTACTGTATAATTTATTATTTACATATTTAGGACATATGGTTGTAAATTAAATTTGACCATTCTTTCCCTACTTATTTAAAATTATTGAAAAATGTTCAAGACTATGCAATTTTTTAAGATGTGACAGAAGTTTCAGATTTTGAAAAAATGCCTTGAAAGTAGAAGCACCTTTTATTTAGATTTCACTGAAAAGAAATGACAGGTTATTCGTATTGGTTCAATTTTACTTTTGGATTTTGTTGAATACTTATATACAATTTGTCATGTGATGAGTGTTGATTGCTAGCTTTCAGTTGCAGCAGGATACAGCAACACACTTTACTATGTTCTGATTGTAATACAGAAACATTGTTGCTCAGATCTTTCTAAGACTAACAGCACACAGAACCAGCATAAAAATGATGATCTTATCTATGTGGGTAAGCCATTTTAAGTATGTTTTGATCATTGCTCAAAAACTTCAAACATTTTCTGTTTGTTTTTGACCGCACATGGGTCAAGTTCACTTTAACAATCTGTTCAATAATATTGTGCCAGATTAATAAAATTTCATGTTCAACTGTTGAATTAATGTCAATATGAGCTATAAAACGCTTACCATTTAAATATGTGAACATTGTTTGTTTTTTCAACTAAATTTTGTTCATTCCTGTTCCATGATTAAATTGATTATGATATGACTTTGCTTCAATATTTTAAAGTTTGTTGTTGCATTGAGTAGAACTATGAGTAATCAGAGAAATCTATTAGTGCACTGCTTTTTATCTAATTTACAAGAATAATCTTGAACTATAAGAGCTCCAAAAATATATTTAAAAGAATGTTTGTCTCACCAGTTTATTTGTAAACCACACGATTTGTTTTTTACTGAAAAATTATTGTGGATTTATAGTCTTGTTTAATTTAATCATTTGATATCTTGAATGTTTTTGAAAATATCAAACCGGGTCATGAAAAGAGGTTGACATCTATTTCACAAAATCACAGCAACATTGATACTTTGCTCAGTATATGAAAAATTATTAAGAACCTTGCGAAAGAATGTCAGAGTAAATCAAGTTTAGGTATTGTGGAGTTATATTGAACTAAGTTCAACATAAAATAACGTTTATGACACCAACTGAGAGAACTTATGAGTTACAGTATGTGAGAGAATTTTAAACAAAATTAAGAAACACAAAAAACAACAGTATAAAATCAGTTATGAAGTCATACAATTGATTCATATTTAAATGTACAAAGTTACACAACATCCTTAACTATTGACATAGTTCCGATTTATGAAATACATTTCTTAATTACAGTTCACGCTTTACAATATGGTTATTACACACTTCTGTAGCCTGTTTGACATGGTTAATTACCAAATTTTAGGCAAATTTATGTACATATAACAATATATGAATTAAAGTTAACGAGACAATAAGTTTGTCACATTCAAACCTGTCAACAGCCACAATAAGGCGATATCCAATAGTCCAAGGTTCAAACACATTCTGTGTATTTGTGGGGTTGAAGTGTTCCCAATGGTCAACTTCAGGCCCATAGACTCAGGTTATTTATGTAAATATAAATCAGTCGAATTGTAGGTACTGTCCAAGGGGATTATGACCCCTTGGTTCACGTTGATGTTAGAGGAGGTCGCTACCAGTCTGGCAGGGCCCTATCGGGGAATATTGCCCCTTGGGCATTCCGTCTCCTAGCAGGTCTTATATATACCCCTGTGGGATGAAAACATAAGGCTTAATGAGTCTTTGCCCTTTGGGTTGACCAGAGTTTAAGAGTAATTTGTATACAATTGGTGCACTTCACCCTGAGGCTGAACCCATTCTCCCACAATGATTTGGTGTCTGCAAATGTGTTTTACTTATTTTCGGGCAGTTCTTTCACCTATAACATATTAACTTGCTAAGATAGGGTCAGAGAATTAGGTTTAGAGCGGCTTCAAACTTTATATCTTACTAAAAATAGGAAACAGATTTCCAATGCATTTAATTTTCCAAAAATTAATTGACATCTAATTTACAAAATATATTAAGCCCGCCGCACACGAGAGTTATTAGAGAGGTTAAGATACCCCGGTTTCGGTGTACGGGTAGCATGATTTTGGTTAGCAATATTTTCGTCGATGTCTGTACCTTTACTCGTAATTAAGGTGGCTTGCTACAGTTTATAGAATTGTTGAAAATGCGTAAACTAGATCACCTTTTTGAAGAGATGATGCTCGTTACAAATCGAAATTTGTATATTATATATACAGCGACAATCAAACAGTCGAAAATTGGTCAGAAAAGTGACGTCACCACTGTTGCTACGGCAACAATGACAATTCAAGATGGCCGATATTTTGGCTTTGAACGCATTTTACTTTAAAAAAAGGTCGGTTACCCCCATTTTTTATTTCAGAAAACATTTTCTTATAGTGCAATGCACTATCTGACCAATTTAAAAAAAATTCTGTAATGCAAAAAAAAAATTATTTCGAAAAACCATGTTTATAAATTTTTAAAAAATTTGGCATTACAGAATTTTTTTAAAAATTGGTCAGATAGTGTATTGTACTATAAGAAAATGTTTTCTGAAATAAAAAATGGGGGTAACCGACCTTTTTTTAAAGTAAAATGCGTTCAAAGCCAAAATATCGGCCATCTTGAATCGTCATTGTTGCCATAGCAACAGTGGTGACGTCACTTTTCTGAGCAATTTTCGACTGTTTGATTGTCGCTGTATATATAATATACAAATTTCGATTTGTAAAGAGCATCATCTCTTCAAAAAGGTGATCTAGTTTACGCATTTTCAACATTTCTATAAACTGTAGCGAGCCACCTTAAGGTGCACATTTTTCGCATATATCATCATCTATTGCAAGAAAACAGAAAAAGTATGATCGAATTACAGACATCAGTAAAACAAGATGACACTACTCGTACCCGTACACCGAAACCGGTGTATCTTAACCTCTCTATTATCTAATAAAGCTAGCGGTCTCGCGAGGCCGTTAGCTCAGCTAATAGCTTTCGTGTCGATGTGCGGCGGATTTAAACCAGGGCGCTATAAAACACGTTTTATAGCGCCCTGCTTAAACACATACGGTGCATCCTGATCAAACTCACGGAGAATTTGGCTCAAAATGCCGTAAACATATAAAATGCGAATCAATTTCTCATTAATTATACCATGGGAATTTTAAATTAATAACTGATATACTTCTATGTGAATATACCTTTTTTAATTAATCTTGTTGTAAATATAGTAACATTATCAATCATCATTGCCAAATAGGCGCTATTTACATGATCTCGGGTACCAAGGACACTATGCTCGCCAAAACATCTTCGCCACGTATTTATCTGATAAAATTGCGAAGACATATCTCAGACAAAATAATCTAAATTAGTAATCAAAATCGAAATCAAAATCTCAAATTAGTACATATTGTTTATTTATTTGTAGTAATTTTGATACTACGTATGAATACTGTTGAAAAGATCTCCATAGCCTTAGGCTTAGTAGCTGAGATAAACAGATTACATGCCTGGACAAAAATTGACCCATAAACAGCGTGACCGTACTGCCGGAACACTTACAGTATACGTTGTAGTTGCTGTTAAATCACGTTGTTATGCCTTGGGGAGTAGGATATCCCCTATACCGATCTCAAGCGTTGAGTGCCAGTGTAGGTAGCGATGTATACAGCAAGCGTTTATAGAAGGTTATCCAACTACCTGAAAGATAAAAGAATTAATTTTCTTCGACGTTTCGAGTGAACCTTTATCAAGAAGGTAGTAACTTCTTGACAAAGGACCTTCACTCGAAACGTCGAAGAAAGTTATTCTTTTATCTTTCAGGTAGTTGGATAACCTTCTATAAACGCTTGCTAACTGTAGTACCCTAGGTCATGTAAACGAGCCCTCAGTCAAGGACTCAAGGTGGAGTGACGGAAAACTCCGTCAGTTTTTAACACTTAAAGCACCTTAGACTTTGGTCAATTAAATCTCCACAAACCAAGGGACAGTTTCCCAAATTGAATCATTAGCTTTTCTCCTGGGTGGACTTTCCTCTTCTTTGAAGTAAGAGAGTGATTCCTGGACTTCGTACACGTTCGTTTGTTTCTTCATCAGTAATCTGGATGAGCGAAGGCATTTGAGGCTGTTGACATTGTACCCGTAAACATATGCTGTCATGTTTTGTGTGCCGCCACACATTTGTCGTTGACATGAAAAATACGATTCGACAAAATCTTGGTTTATCTTGCTCAAATTGATGTACAATTGGTCACCGTATTCACGAACAAAATCATCATTTTTCAAGTAGTTGAGTAGCTCCTTTAAAGCGTTGACTGTTATCTATACATATAAAAGAGAACAAATCATTCTTATCAGAAATATAATAAGATATGCATACGCATTTTATGTATGGTCATACCAGGGCGCTATAAAACACTGCCCTTGGTCATACTTAGGCCCCATTTACATGAGACCGGGATGAAGTGAAACCGGAATGAAAATTGGAATTGTCAACATGTTTACATGAGACCGGTACAAAAATCACAAAATTTTCAATTTACTTCCCTTGCCAAGCAATTTTCTTTTTCAGATGGCTTTTGTTAGCATGTGTTGTTCCAATGTCAAGGTTATAGCCGAGACCGGTTTGAAATGTATTCGTGTTTACATTCATCTCGTTCTGAATTCATGCCGGTCTGAAGTCAGTTGGGTCGGTCCAGCAGGAGGAATGACTTGAGACCAGTCTGAGTTATTTTCGACCCGGTCTCATGTAAACATCTGTTAAGCCTAGTTTCCATTTGGTCGTTAGTTGTCGCTGGCACGACAAGTGGCTGATGTAATAGAGTGTCAACTTAAAACTTTATAAAACTCTGCAATCATTAAGACTGATTTGCATATAACACACAAACAGACTATTATTATATTAGACTATTTCACGTCTACCGCTTGTCGTGCCAGCGACAACTAACGACCAAATGGAAACCAGGCTTTATAAATTATACTATGACCGAAACGAAATGGTCCCAGTTTGACTTCATTCCGGTCTTATCTAAACGGGGCCTTAGATCGAACCAAGAATAAGCTTTTAGAATATGTTTATGCACTTACGTGAAGGTCAAATTTAGTTTGCCATGAGATAAAATGCCGTGACTGTTCTTCTTTTGTTTCAAACTTTTTCGAAAGCCAGATCTTCCAATCTTCAAAAAATTTGACAACACTGTCAAGTTTTGCTATTCTGATGTCATCTAGGTTCTTCAGTGGTTTGGGACTGTTGAAAACATTCCAAAACGTTTCACAATTTCGAATATAGCGACATGTCTGCTCTGTCGCTTGACGCTCACTAGCCTCCATCTCTTCAGCAACTTTCGACGAGAGAGTTTGAACCGCAAGTTTCACGCGCATCTTGCTGAAAGAATCTATTGCAACACGAGATTTTCTCAAGTCCGTCACGTATAAATGCCTTTTCTTCTCCCTTGTATATACTGCATATATTTGATCCCATAGAATGTATTGGTCTTCATTAAAAAGCGTTCGTGTATATCGAGGATGATTTTCTTTAAAGCCACTGGAATGCATGTTGTTTCTAAGTTTCTTTATCAGATGATGGGGATCGGAAAAGAAGAATAAAGGCATTCCAGAAAATTTATTTTGGCAGTAGCTTGAACTTTTGTCATCTATGTTTAGCATAATGAATGATCGGTTAGATGAAGCACCGTCACAACAGCAAAATATAATCTCGAATTCAAAAATGTGCAGCATGCTTACCCCCAACCAGAATATTCTGTTTAACTGTAAAGCCGTCGTCTCTTTGGTAAGGAAAAAGGCACAAGGGTAATCAAATTTGAAAAACAGACTTCGAAAGAAAATTTGTAGTACATGTGTTGCTAGGTTATCAGTTGGTTTTTCTGCACATGTCTTTTCGTCCGATATTCCGTCACCTTGTAAATCAGTGAAACCAATTAGTTCCCAGTTTTTGCAATCAAACACAAGACCTTCTTTTATTTTTACTTCGTCGAATATCAGTCCACCAAGTTTTGCGTGTTTTGGGGGCTTCATTTTCTTAAATTGTGTTTTCATATTCTGTAAATGGCTTGTTTTCCATCCAGAATCTGGTGAATCAAAGTTTTTATAATCAGACAGTAACCGTCCACTGGGAAGTTTCAAGCCACCAGAATTCCTCAAATCTTCATACAATCCATGGGACTTGATATATATTCGCAGACACCACTTTATAACTAGGGGGTTCCACCGCATTTGTCTGGAACTCGTATTCAAAGCTTTTGCTTGATCACTTAAAAGTACTTCTAAAATGTCGTTGTTGAGTCTTCCGGTATGCTCTCTAATATGATTCTCGAGTAACTTTAGTTTGGTGTAACTTTTAGAACAGCCATTCCATCTACAACAATAAACTCTATCAACTGGAGCAATATTTCGAGTGTCAACACGCTCTATATGTTCCTTACAATGAGTGTACAGCAATTCAACATTGTCAAATTTAGAGTTATTACTACAATCTTTCCATTCGCATAAAAGGTGATTTACTCGTTCTTTCGTTTTGGAAACTCCGAGATATAGGTCGTTGAAGATTTGCTTTAAATCAGTGTCGGATTTTGGACCAACATCAATTTGATTCTTTGATTCGTCAGATCTTTTCAGCTTCTCTTTGAGTTTTTTAATAGTCTTACTCGAATCTCGTGCTGTAACAATAAGTTCCTCCTTACTTCTGTAATCGAATCGTGTTGATTTAGACGAATTTTTATCGGCATTTTTCTTCCGGGACATAACTGTTCGCAAGTAATGGTTGCAATTTTTACAGGATGGACACTTGTCGGGTTCATCATGTTTTAAGAGAATGCTGCAATCAGCTGATCGTAGTAGGTTATTTTCGTGTAGTACGCCTTCTCTACCATCTTTTTTCTTAAATATGCTTGTTTCAGAACTTAGATTTTCATATTCTTCCGAGTTTCCGCAACCGTTGCACATTTTGCATTTGTCAGTTATTTCTAGTAATTTTACCAGTGATTTCATACGAAGTAATTGTTCAGGCAAACCAACAAAAGCATTAATACCAGTCGTGTTTCTGTTATGCCCCTCAGAACGAAAATTCCACTTACCATCTTCATGTATAATAATTTCTTTATCAGCGTAACCTGGCGTCCGTTTAAACGAATACAAATGAATGCTCTTGTGCTTGGAATCATACCAAGGTGTCCAGTTGGACAAGTACGGTGAATGGGTTTCAGTAAACACGCGAAATTGCACAGGAAAAGTTGCATCATGACAAATTTCGACGTCTTGGTTTCTTGCAACGCTTTGATGACAGATCTTTATCAAATTTTCACTCAAGAGATATGTGTTCGCCTCGGTTAGATGCGACTGATTTTTCAAGCTCCTGTCTAAGATTTCCGTCGCCGTTCTCAGGAACTCATCCGTTTCTTTCTTAAAAAAAGACCACCGAACCAGCCCATTTTCTTTTCCAACGTTCCTTTCCAATTGATTCCTCGATACTCGTGGGAAATATCTTCTTATTGCTGTTGCACTGAAATTAACGCCTAAAACTTTCGAAATGATGGTAGATATATTATCGTAACTGGCTGGAGAATGATGTTTGCTAAATGTTGACACTCTGAATGATACACGCATTAACGAATATAACAGAAGCTCTTCTGGAGTTAACGAAGTGCCTGAATTAAAACAAGGCCTGCATGCATCTGCCTGACTATTCAGACTTTCATCATGTCTCTCGCAACCTCCAACAAGTGAAATTTCGGACGATTGAAACTCCGTTGCTGAGCAAGGTGTTTGTAAGGTATTGCTTATGTCCTTCAAACAACGTCTCTTGCTAGGTATATTATCGGCACTAGTATCTTCTCCTACAAAGGGAGAGTTAAAGGTGAGATAGCATATTGATGAAATCGTCACATTGATTATAGCATTTAATCTGACAACAGGGCGCTATAAAACACCGTGTTTTACAGCGCCCTGCTGACAATCACGATTTGCATTTTCAGCGTACTGTATTTTCAGCGACTTCGAACCCCTTTATCAATTATGGCTGCGGCCAAAGTTTGTTTTGAATTTTCGTAATTGAAATATTGCTGTATCAGTTTCTAAAAATATATATAAATTATACGCATTTTAGCGCTGGGATTCAGCGCATTATCGGCATTCATTATTACAACATTATTCATGAATTTTGCCGTTTGAATCAGTACCTGAAGTTTACACGCGAGAATATCAACTGAGTCCACGCGTGGAGATGAACCGGTCAAACACGTTTATATTTTCAGCATGAGACACTCGACAGTGGCTTACATGTGAAAATTCGTGCAAAAAAGAGCTGAAAAAACTAAAGTAAAAATTATTTCTGCATTCCTAAACAACTTGATGGTTTGAAGACATTGTTGGATTATTTTCTGTATAACTGATGAAGGAAGGGCTTTAAAGATTCATCATGAGCGGAACGAATATTCGATAAGGAATCGAACCGATCGAACATTGGCCGCATATTCCAAACACAAAAATCTTGTTGTCGATGGTTGAAAGCAATATTTGGTATGAAATGGGATATTTTACTTCATATTGCGAAGGTAGGCTAAACATTTTCACAGTAAGAATATTCTGGCATTGCCCCGAAATTGATAAAATATATTGATAAAATATATGCATTTATTGTAAAAACAACTATTTGAAAAAAACCCACAATTTGAAAACTTAAATATATAACCGGGTTTTTTTGCTAATCAGTGAGCTGGCATGCTTGGAATCCATTGGAGAGCTCACTGTAAAGTGTTTTTAAATTGATTTCATTTATATTATTGGTATAACTGCCGTCGACACTCCAAATGATGCCAATGACCTCGCCGTATAAAATAGTCAGCGTGAAACATTTTTCGTGTGACTGCAGTCGTTGACATTGCAGAGACAGTGCATGTATACGGACTTTAAAAGGCTGCAAGATATCTCCGTTTTATGAAAAAAGCACAAAAAAGCACCGTTCAATTTTACTTGAGACATAAAGCCAAGTTTAAATGTCTATAGTTTGATGTGTTCAAATTTATCTCAACGAGGAGAAAACAGTATTTTAAACACGTCCGCGCTTTGACAAAAAGGCAAAAATGTCGTGAAAATCGAGTTCAAAATGCATGTCTTTTCCTCAACAATCGCTTCATTCATTTCGCATGTGAAATAGACACCAATTTTAACTATATAAGCTGATACTAGATACTTCAATAAACATTTATAGTATGTATTTGAGGCAGGAAGTGATTTGGTTTAATTGATAATTGAAAATTTGTGTTGTTTAAATATCGTATTATCCGTGCATAAATAAGTATAGTAGTCGCGAATCTATATTGTCGTGTGGAGTATATGGAAAACTATAAAGGCTGCAAGATATCTCCGTTTTATGAAAAAAGCACAAAAAAGCACCGTTCAATTTTACTTGAGACATAAAGCCAAGTTAAATGTCTATAGTTTGATGTGTTCAAATTTATCTCAACCTATCTCAACGAGGAGAAAACACTATTTTAAACACATCCGCGCTTTGACAAAAAGGAAAAAATGTCGTCAAAATCGAGTTCAAAATGCATGTCTTTTCCTCAACAATCGCTTCGTTCATTTCGCATGTGAAATAGACACCAATTTTAACTATATAAGCTGATACTAGATACTTCAATAAAAATTTATAGTATGTATTTGAGGCAGGAAGTGATTTGGTTTAATTGATAATTGAAAATTTGTGTTGTTTAAATATCGTACTATCTGCATAAATAAGTATAGTAGTCGCGAATCTATATTGTCATGTGGAGTATACGGAAAACTATAAAGGCTGCAAGATATCTCCGTTTTATGAAAAAAGCACAAAAAAGCACCGTTCAATTTTACTTGAGACATAAAGCCAAGTTTAAATGTCTATAGTTTGATGTGTTCAAATTTATCTCAACCTATCTCAACGAGGAGAAAACACTATTTTAAACACGTCCGCGCTTTGACAAAAAGGAAAAAAATGTCGTCAAAATCGAGTTCAAAATGCATGTCTTTTCCTCAACAATCGCTTCGTTCATTTCGCATGTGAAATAGACACCAATTTTAACTATATAAGCTGATACTAGATACTTCAATAAACATTTATAGTATGTATTTGAGGCAGGAAGTGATTTGGTTTAATTGATAATTGAAAATTTGTGTTGTTTAAATATCGTACTATCTGCATAAATAAGTATAGTAGTCGCGAATCTATATTGTCGTGTGGAGTATACGGAAAACTATAAAGGCTGCAAGATATCTCCGTTTTATGAAAAAAGCACAAAAAAGCACCGTTCAATTTTACTTGAGACATAAAGCCAAGTTAAATGTCTATAGTTTGATGTGTTCAAATTTATCTCAACCTATCTCAACGAGGAGAAAACAGTATTTTAAACACGTCCGCGCTTTAAATTTTGCAAATATTTTCATCGTTCGAGTAAAATTTTTGCCCTGATATTTTCTTTCAACGAGTGTTCAGTAACAAACAACACAAGCTATTACATGTAATATAACTTATTAAATAATATTTCAAATTTTAATTAACGAAACATAATTACTTACCATTTAAATCCTTTGTTTTCTGGTTCGCTTGTTTACATTTTTTTGTTGCCATCTTGTACGCAATTTTCTGATTTGTTTTAAAGAAAGCGCGCTCGCGCCAATCCTAATGTGCATCACACGTAGCACGGTCATTTATTAACGCGTTTCACTGCCCGTGTTTTACTACGCCCTGGTGCAAGTGTGGTAAATGCGCTCGTAAAAATGCATGTCCCTGCAGAGTGGCTGGAGTTAGCTGTTGTAAATATTGTAAATGTAAGGCTAGTGAAAATTGCAAAAATCCAATAACAGAATGAAAACAAAAGATAATGGACACAAAGTCGAACTCCGTCCAGCACTTTCCCGTTTTTTGGTGCAATATATATCGGTTAGCTTCTGAAATATTCCTGAAATATTCCTTACTGTTCTGCTACTGTTTCAAGATAATCTACATTGATCATTACGAACATTTTCCTGTTTTTGCCGTGCTGCTGTTTCAAGATAATCCACATTAATCATTATCAACATGCAGTATCCTTTTTATTTCATGCTGCAGTTTCAAGATGATATACATTAATCATTATGAACATCTTCCCTTTTCTGCCATGCTGCTGTTTCAAGATGATCTACATTAATCATTATGAACACTACCCTTTTTCTGCCGTGCTGGTGTTTCAAGATGATCTACATTAATCATTATGAACACTATCGTTTTTCTGCCGTGCTGCTGTTTCAAGATAATCTACATTAATCATTATGAACATTATCCTTTTCTGCCGTGTTGCTGTTTCAATATAATCTACATTAATCATTATGAACATTATCCTTTTTCTGCCGTGCTGCTGTTTCAAGATAATCTACATTAATCATTATGAACATTATCCTTTTTCTGTCGTGCTGGTGTTTCAAGACGATCAACATTAATCATTATGAACATCTTCCTTTTTATGCCGTGCTGCTGTTTGAAGATAATCTACATTAATCATTATAAACATTTCCTTTTTATGCCGTGCTGCTGTTTCAAGATGATCTACATTAATCATTATGAATATACTATCCTTTTTCTGCCGTGCTGCTGTTTCAAGATAATCTCCATTAATCATTATGAACATTATCCTTTTTCTGCCGTGTTGCTGTTTCAAGATGATCTATACATTAATCATTATGAACATTATCCTTTCTCTGCCGGGCTGGTGTTTCAAGATGATCTACATTAATCATTATGAACATCTTCCTTTTTTATGCCGTGCTGCTGTTTCAAGATAATCTACATTAATCATTATGAACATTATGGCTTTTTCTGCCGTATTGCTGTTTCAAGATGATCTATACATTAATCATTATGAACATTATCCTTTCTCTGCCGTGCTGGTGTTTCAAGATGATCTACATTAATCATTATGAATACTATCCTTTTTTGCCGTGCTGCTGTTTCAAGATAATCTACATTAATCATTATGAACATTATGGCTTTTTCTGCCGTGTTGCTGTTTCAAGATGATCTATACATTAATCATTATGAACACTATCCTTTTTTTGCCGTGCTGCGTGCAGTTTCAAGATGATCTACATTAATCATTATGAATACTATCCTTTTTTGCCGTGCTGCTGTTTCAAGTAATCTACATTAATCATTATGAACATTATCTTTTTTCTGCCGTGTTGCTGTTTCAAGATAGTCCATACATTAATCATTATGAACATTACTTTCTACCATGCTGGTGTTTCAAGATGATCTACATTAATCATTATGAACATGTTCCTTTTTATGCCGTGCTGCTGTTTCAAGAAGATCTACATTAGCCATTATCAACATTTCCTTTTTTTGCCCTGCTGCTGTTTCAAGATGATCTACATTAATCATTATGAACACTATCCTTTTTTGCCGTGCTGGTGTTTCATGATGATATACATTAATCATGAATACTACCCTTTTTCTGCCGTGCTGCTGTTTCAAAATAATCTACATTAATCATTATGAACATTATCCTTTTTCTGCCGTGCTGCTGTTTCAAGATGATCCACATTAATCATTATGAATATACTATCCTTTTTCTGCCGTGCTGCTGTTTTAAGATAATCTACATTAATCATTATGAACATTATCCTTTTTCTGCCGTGCTGCTGTTTCAAGATAATCTACATTAATCATTTTGAACATCATCCTTTTTGTGCCGTGCTGCTGTTTCAAGATGATCTACATTAATCATTACGATACATAAATTATGAACACTATCCTTTTTCTGCCATGCTGCTATTTCAAGATGATCTACATTAATCATTATGAACATCTTCCTTTTTATGCTGTGCTGCTTGTTTCAAGAAGATCTACATTAGCCATTATCAACAGTTCCTTTTTTTGCCCTGCTGCTGTTTCAAGATGATCTACATTAATCATTATGAATAATATCCTTTTTTGCCGTGCTGCTGTTTCAAGATGATCTACATTAATCATTATGAATATGTCCTTTTTCTGCTGTGCTGCTGTTTCAAGATAATCTATACATTAATCATTATACCTGTTTTAGCCGTGCTGCTGTTTCAAGATGCACTATAGTAGTGTAGCTCTAAACTTGTCACAAACTTGTTGGAACAAATGCAATGTGCCTTGCCCGTATGAACAAAATTGTGGACAAAGAACCTGAATGGGAAATACGTCGTCTAATTTTGAACTGCAACAGAGTGACGTGTTATTGTGCTTTGTGCTGCTGTTTGAAGATGATTTACAGTGAACATTTACTTAACCTCATTCGTGCTGCGATTTCAAAATTGCTTACAATGAACATTTTCTATCTGCTGTGAGCTGGCGTTGTGCTACTGTTTTACTAAACTTCCTTCGTGCTGCAGATTCAAGATGATCTACAGTGAACAGTGTTCCTTACTGACGCTATTTTGCCTAATTACGTCCTTGCAAGATGCTCCTTAACTCCGCCATTGCCGGTCCCAAGCCCGGATGAAAAAGGAGGAGGGTTGGTCTCTGGGTCGGAAACCCCACCTCGTAAAAGACCTACGGAGTAACTGATTAAACACCGAAATGAATACGATGTACCGGACGGAGATTTTTCTAAGTCAAGACGCTTTATGATTACTGGTGTAGAAACTTGAACATGGATACCTGAACTACAGCCGAATCTGTAATACAACAGGGAACGCGTGTGAAGTTTGCATGCAACATGGATACCTGTCCTGCCTGGTCTACAGTCTGGAGTTGTGGTCTTATGTAATTAAGTGTAAGGTGATTGCAGGGCCGCCGAGAAGTTTGGTGGGGGCCCGGGGCAAAATTTTTTTTTTAAGGGGGGCCCCTATCTAAAAATTTTTTCTGGAGAACAAGATTTCCCCCCCCTCCCCCCTCCGCCGGCAACTTTTTAGGTAAAAAGTTTTTCCGGACGAGTACGTTGCAATTGATTTCCAGGGACTTTATCTCATTTTTTATGCCACATTCGGTAATTAGCCCAAAAACCCAGATATCTTGTCCTTTGCGCGGAAATATTTAACACGACTTGGGCCCAACAAAAAAATGTTCAGGGTCCCCCAGCACCTCGAGATCGGGGCCCTGGGCAACTTGCACTCCCCTGCCCCCTCTCTGCGGCCCTGGGTGATTGTCCTCTGATGTTGCATTATTCACCGAAGAACATGGTATGTTTGAATATTTATTAGTTGTTGTGTGTATGTTTGTTACTTTTTGTCTAAAGTTTGGCCTGGTTAAGGCCAAATTTTAGAACAGAATCTGCTGCTCAGAATGCAGAAAACGGCATTTCTGGGGTTTAAATTTCAAAATTTTTTCGGGGGCATGCCCCCGTACCCCCTAGACGGGGCGTGGCTTTCTATCACGCAGGTGGTTCCAGGGAAATTGCTACAATTAGATTAAAAGGCGGCCTCCGCCCCTGAGTGTTATCTGAACGGTAGGAGCCAGATATAAATTATCAAATTATTATTGAATAGTAGTTTTGTAGAAAAAATGTAGAAAAATATGCGTTATTAGTTTAGAAAAGTAGTATTCGGTAAATAATAGTGCATTTTAGGATTTATTTTAGAATTAGCGTTCACTTTTAGTTCAGTTTTTAGTCTACAACAATATATTCAACTAAAGTTAATTAATTCAGCTTGGGTTCCCTATTGTCACACGCAGCCTTCTTCAGTTTTCGCGAAAAAACATTCACCCGCCTGTCACGGCATGTTACTTCGCCCACGCGAGATTTGTACGGAATGTTTTGAAAGACTCGTGAGCAACGTCTTACAGGGGTGATAAAATTATCATTTCGCCTATTCATTTGCATTTTTAATTTTAATACCCTTAACAAAGGGTTAAACTTGCTATTATAGCATCAAAATGGCCCGGACAGAAGAATAACAAGGCCAAAATGTTAACAACCGACACGGGATGACAAAATGGCGTCGAATTTGGACAAAGTTGAGGTTTTACATTGTCGATGGTTAAATAGCTATGATCTACTTGAGCACCAAGTTAAAACTTGTTTAAAATGTTCTTGATATCATTGTGTCTGAGATGATTTACATTTTTGGAAGGATGTGGACGAAATTGCCGATAAACAGCGGAGTGAAGTGGAGAAGTTGGCCAAATACGTCCATTTGCAGGAGGTAGGCACATTTCATATTATTTCGGTCAGAAAATATTAACTATTTTACACCAAAGCAGTGATAATATATTTAAATAAGTACCAATTATGTTTCTATCAAAAAGATTTAGGGAAAAAGGTAATGTAAGTCCACTGCTGTTTATCTGAAGTTGCAAGCCACAAATTGACGTTTAACTATGATATTGCATGGTGATTTTCTTGTGAAATGTTAGTGCTAGGCATTTCACACTTACCAGTGACCACCCCCAAAAGTACCATCTCTGGACCATATAAGCACCTCAGAACAGCAAAAGCTTTTATGGCTTGGTAGATAGCAGTATGGCGAAAGCGTCGTTTTTGGGTGTGGTCAGTTTCGGACGTTTCGCCCCGGATTGGGGTTCGGGCAGCGTTACCATGTTGACCGTCATGGTCAACATGCCCAAAAACTGTTGAGATTATCTGTCCTAAATGAAATGCATACAAACTCATATACAGGTCCTAGACTAATGGATAAACTGGAGCCAAAGTACTGTTATTTTCAGCGATCGAGTAAACGATATTATCTGACGAATTCTGCAACGATTGTGATACTTCTGGCACAGGCGAAGAGGAAACAAACGCCATTGAGTCAACGTTTGAAATAGATGATCCAGATTCACGAGGAATTAAACGAGGCATCAGCGATTCTCGAAGTGTTTTGAACGACTAAATGTCACGACTGAGAATGAGCTACTGGTGTAAACAACTTATATAAGGTAGGTTATGTAAATGCCCTCATTAGCATTTGCCAAGCTGTTCCTGGGGCCCCCTATTCTGATAACAAGTACAACAACTCAGCTCGTTCTTAATATCAGTTATTTCATAAATCCAATTACCTTTTCTTTTAAATTGTTTAATTAAAAAAGAAAGCAAAGTTATTTGCATTAGAGAATTCGAAATCATTTTATTTCAAACTCAAAGTTTATTGATCAAGGAAGTTCAGTTTTATAAAGAACACTTTAAAGCGTTATGCGAAGCGTTTGTGCAGTGGTTGAATTTTACCTTAAATTGAAGCTTGTATTGCGTATAGAAATACATGCACGCAACAACCCCTCGTCTATATTCTCCAAACATTATTTCGACATGAAGTATTCGTAATTACGTCAACACGGAACGCAGGCTCGCGTTCCTCACGTCATGTTACTCTCGATTTCAATTTGCTTTTCAAAACTGACTTCCAATGTTTACTTGTAAATTCGGAATGTTCGTTGTAAAGTTCCGACGTTTGTTTCAAAGTTCGTTACGATGATTTACAATGATTCAATAGCAAGCGATTTGATTGGCTGGTTCACTTAAAACTAGCCATGCCAATTACAACTTACTAAACTTGATTATCGTAAATCATCGGAACGAACTTCGAAACAAACTTCGGAACTTTACAACGAACATTTCGAATTTACAAGTAAACATTGGAAGTCAGTTTTGAAAAGCAAATTGAAATCGAGATGGTTAATTTTTTGTACAAACCTGCAAAAAAATAGATGAAACTTGAACACTTTTAAATGTAGCCCGCGTGCAGGCCGAAGGGAACTGATAGTGGGCCTGCAAGCAAGGCCCGGTATTTTGTACTTTCCGCGTTCGCCCACGAACGCGGCATTCTGATTGGCTGTTTGCTGTTGGATTCTATAATTAGGTCAGTGATTCATCACAAAGACATAGACAAAGGCTCTCGATAAGCTTAAAATTCGAAAATTGATCACTTTTTTCGATTTCAAATGGAACAAGAACAGACTGTTTATTGTTTACTTGAAGGAAGAGATGTTTTTGCCGTTATGCCAATGAGGATTGCTTGTCGTGAGGTGTTGGAATAGCAACATTTAATACGACTGGGGTAAACTATAGTAATCTTTACTTGAGTTTCATTAATTTCAAACAGACTTGATACGTTATATGTTCTTCAAGAAAATTATCTTTTGGTTGATGTTGAGATGCAGTTGCATGTAAGCCTATTCAAAATAGTTTGCGATTTACAAGGCTTCGCTGAGAGAGCAAAACAGAAGACGGTATTAAATTGCAGTTTGAAACGAAACGATCTGGACTCTGAACGCTCTCTTCTTTTGTAGAGTTCTCACCATATGAAATAACTGAAATAAATTTCATAATTTCCGCCGCCAACAAGAATTAGACACACGATCTGATAAGTGAGACAATTTATTTATAACAATGGCGACAGCGAAGCACACATTATAAATGCTGATGTGGTCGCACGACTTCCCTCACGATTTGAAGTTTGAGATTGGTTTTCTGTTGAAATTCGTCTTAATTTGCCTGTTCCGATTTTAGTTGAAAATGAGCACTTGTAAATTTGGCAATTACTGACTGCGTTGCTTGCTTTTTTGGAGTTTTAACACAAGCATTTACACATTGTTTCTATTTTGAATATTAAAGCAGAGAAAAGCCCGCAACATTTTAATGCGAGTTGGTTTGTTAATATTTGGGTTGCTGTCATTGGTTATTTTTTGACAATTGACGCGCGAATGGGACGTGTTATGAAAAGGGGCGTTTTACAAATTACCGGGCCTTGCTTGCAGGCCAACCATCAGTTCCCTTGGGCCTGCACGCGGGCTATTTTAAATGCAGAACTAACAATTTCTAAAATATGTAAAGTAGATATATTATTTTAGTTTCTATGGGCTTTATTTTAATGTAAAATTCAGAACGAAACACTACGTAAAAGTTTTTTAAATGTGAATTGAAATTAACAGCTTTTTGGCATTTGCCGATATTAAACTCTTCAACTTGAGCTTCAACTTATTACTCGCACTTTGTGATGAAATAAACTTAATTCGTACAGGATGTTAATGAAAAAAATTTGCTTTTCTTTTTATCATGAACTTCTCCAAAAGTTAATTTAACTAAGAAACTTTCGCATGCAAGCATAGGACAGACTTGAACAACAAGAAGCAAGTCTATAATAATATAAAGTCATACATAAACAATTGAACAAACTTGCCGTATAGACTATACTAATACTTTAGGATTTCTCATACTAAATCAATTCTTATAAATGTTTACGTATAAAAATTGAAAAAAAGGTTTACAACTTGTTATGTGAAACGATTTGGCAAGCTTTCTTACATGTATTTGTTATATTTCCCCCTTCTTCACTCTTGGAAAACAGCGGCGCTCCGCACCGTTGGCTCGGGGATAATAACATAGTATCTAACATATATATGTTTGGAAAATCGGTAATTTTGTAATAATTAGAAGTAATACTTTTAGGGGATTTTTCAAGTAAAAATATTCTTAAATTAGAAAAACATGCATGCAGTAACCCCTCGCCAATATTTTCCAAACATTAAATTAACTTGAAGTATTCAGCAATGACCAACACTGAACGCAGGCTCGCGCTCAAGTGTTGCCATGACAACAAGATATCACAGAAATGAGATATACAGAGAGGAAACACGCGGCAAATTGTGTCACGGCGATATATTCATATACTATACATATTATAGAAGTATTCATGTGTTTTTTATGCGAGAGTTATATTTTGAGAAATTTATATCATTTGCTGCTTTGTTTTTAATACATAAGCATCTGAAATTCCCAGCCAGTGCTTTTCCCGATTTCAATAAGGAGTAGATAGGAAAAAAAAAACTTTTGCGAAATAAAATGTTATGTTAATTAACACATTTAATAAAAAGAAATCAATAAAAGTGATCGCTTACCGTTGTTCTACAAAAATTTATTGAACAAAACTTCCATGGGTATCTCATTTTTTTTTAAAAAAAGCAGTTTTTACCTTTCGAACGACGTTTTCCTTATCTTTTGCTATCAAATTTCAGCGACAGCACTGGCTGGAAGATTTTGCGTGGTGCGTGGAACGCGTGACACAAAAATTGAGGTTATCGAGTGTCAGTTTCCTCTCTGTATATCTCTTCCCTGTGACGATATTCTTAAATTTAAAAATTCATATTTTTTGTACAAAACTGCAAAATAGTTGAAAGATTCGTACTTTTAACTATACAACAATAAATGTCCGAAATATGTACTGTAGGTATATTATTTTGCATGTCGTGAGCTTTGATTTAATGTCAAATTTAACTTGAAACGCTTCGTAAAATGTTTTGAAGCGTTCATTCAACATTTCAACTAACTACATTTTGCCGATAAACTGTTTTTACTTAATAAAACATAATAAGTTTAATACAAATAAATCAAATTGTTAGGTAATTTCAGTTCAGTCTTCAAAAATTCAGCTTTTACATTTAAATTTTTTTCTCAAATTGAACGGTAATTTATGAAACTTAGACCTTCGTTGAAACGGAAAACAGTTCTTGTTTTTAGGCAAAAAATTAAAGCAACAATATTCGTGAACATAATTATTCATTAAAGCAAACTTGCCATATATTTCACGATTTCCCATAGTAAATCAATTCTTCTCATCTCTTCAAACAAAATTGCTTCAAGCTTGTTGTATATGAAACGATTTTCCAAATATATGTCCTTTAAAATTGAAATCTTGCTTATCCCACTCCTACAAGCAATCAGCCATATTTTTGAGATCAGTGAGGATGACCACCCACTCAAGATCGTTGGTCATTTGATGAACTTTAGACTTCGCTAATGATTTCGTTTCCAAGGGTGTAAATATCCAGGGGGAATTAGTACCCTTGTCCCGGGCTTACGCCCGGAACAACGCTCCGCGCCGTTGGGTCGGAGAAAATTCTCGTGTTACCATGACAACTACTTTATAGATACTTCATGTTCGTCAACTACTCTATAGATACTTCATGTTTTGTCAGCAAGGCGAGGGTGTCTGTATGCATGTATTTTTTAGTTTTGCTACATAACACAAGTTCTCTTGTACAACTAATTTTTTTCTTAAAATATTGCTAAGAGTTTGGGTTGTCCTCCCATAACATTCATTTGGGACGTGATCGGATTTCAAGTCCTGACGTTCATATATGTATGCAGAATGAAAACTCAGTCAAAACTCCAAGCCATTATGTTTATATTTGTGTGTCACCAACTTATGTGTAGTAAATCGGCAAATGTGCTCTATTTACATATAATTGTTGTCAGGCCAGTTTCCATGCTCGTATTTTAGCGATGGACTTTTTCGAGTCGACTTGTCGTTCTTGCAGCGCACCAAAGTGTTACCGACGTGAGTCCCAGTAGGTGCGCGTTAGTCAAAGAGATCAAAGAATCGGCCATGCATTATGACCGATGGCATTTCCGTGTTTATTCACGTGTTGTATACGTTGTCAAGGTAGTTGTGAGAAAACACCCTGAAGAAATTTTAAACATTTTTGTGTTTTAAACTATAGTACTGTCGTGTTTTACTTAATCAGCGTTTACTCATTGGGATACCAAAAATAACGTTTAAATTAGAGGACAGTATCACTCATATAAAAGCTTTATATGAATGACATATTGTTCCTCTCAGTTCTTTTTTATTTGCGAGAAATTTACTTTTTACACTGACATTCTCACTCATTATCGTCGCCATGTTTGTTGTATCCTGGGCAAATGCGGTCGGTCCTATATGGGTGTTGTGAGTAAGAGTGTGAAAGAAACAAATTTCATGATCGAATTGCTTCGGATTTTCAGTCTTTAATACAAAAGCTTTAAGAAATTCCTTTAGTAAAAATGTTTCAACGGAAGAACATTGTGTGGTTCCATAGTGTCTTGAAAAACTGTGGGAACCTGCTACCACATTTATAAATTCCGTTAATTTGAATTTGACTGTGAGTATTGAGGTTTAATTAAGGTAAAAATTTTAGAAAGGACCGTGGTATTATAGGGTGAGGAGACCTAGTAAATGGTGCTAAAAGTTTTAAAAGATATTCTAAAACAGAATACAAAGCTTTCACCCAACTAAAGCAAGGGTGCAGTATACAATTTTATGTAAACATTGATCATATTTCTCTGCCGGGGAAACAATGGATTGCAAATAAATACGCTCCTCTAAATACCCAAAATAGAGAATTTATTATAGAAAATATCGAGTTAAATGCGCTGTTTAGCCTATTAATTAAAGTACTTAATGTATATTTATTCTTCATTGAACATGTTCTTTTCAACAAAATTGGAAAATCGACCACACAGTACCTTACAATGAAGCTTAATGAGGTTTATGAGGACGTGCTTTTAGGAGCTCCGCTTTATTTTTATTTTCTATTGATTGATTTGGCTTTATATCTTGTGAATAAGTCGAGGAATTCGTACTGATAATGGCTGAGGAATTGCAACTGGCTTGGATGGGAGATTTCGACTCACTGAAACAGTTTGTCAGCGACAAACTTAATCTAAACGGCGAATGGGTTAGTCCAGGAGGCGATAAGAAATTATTTAATGATGGCTACATATCTATTTCGTGGCGAAAAAATAAGAAAGCCTTACTGATCGACGGCGATGATTGGGATAAATTTAAGAGTAAACTCTGCAGGATGATCTGTGCGAACGACTTCAACAAAGGGAATATGTGCGAAGAAACTACGACTGTGAATGTTGAATGCCGGTCCGCCTCTCCTATGCGAGCGCCGTTAAGCGAGCTATCAACCGAGGTAGAAGGCATTAAACTCGATGTAACGATAGCAGAGCGGGAAATAGAAGTAAACAAGAGTGCTATAAGCAAAGTTGAGAGCAATCTACACGAGATAAATAGTGGTTACGAAGATCTTCGTCTACAGTTCGATGAATACAAGAAAATAACCGAAGTATTAATTCAGAGGGACAGATTTCAACATTCGACAACATTTGAATATTCAAATGTGATCGATAAAGTTAATCCAAGCGAAACTAAACGGTACGAAGATGAAGTAAGCCGGCTCAAAAAGGACCTTTCTAGTGAGAGGGAGAAATGCAAGCGCTTGGAAGCTGATCTGTCTATTCTAATCAAAGGAAGATCTTGTGAAGTTAATGAATTGAACAATATTATTGCCTCTCTTGAATTTAAACTTAAAGCCACTGAGGCGACTAATCTCCTTGACAGATCTAAAACAGACCAAAATCTCCAATTCAAAGCAGAATGTAATTTTCCCTAGCAACACTGTCACAAAGAACGATAAACAATGCGCCGTCAATCATGTAGAACAAAGCAATCTTGTCCTTAATCGAGTTTTGGGTGAGGAAAACTCCCTGACCGACCTTCCACAGAAATCGCACGTGACTTCCAATCTAGTCGTTTCCAACAATAGACGCGTCGACAAAGACTTATCAGTTAAGGATAATCATCAGTTAAGGATAATCAGTTAATTTTAAATAGTGATAACAGCCCAGCCGACCTACTACAAAGCCATAATAATAACCTGATCAATGGCGCCAAATCTCGCGACGGTCAGCACATGAAAGGTAATTCGAATGCAAGGAAATTGCCAAATATTACCAAATTCCTACTTCAAGTCCCTGGAGTGTCAGCTACTATGAATGAAGTCGACAACAAGGTTGACACATATCCCATTATCGATGGTCACCACTGCAGTTTGATGAACGTCAGTTCATCAACTTTTAATGTTCTTAAAGACATAGAATTTTTACCCTAATCAGTCTCAACGAATCCCTAGAATACAGTCATCAAGTTCCTGTTGATTTCAAACGTCCTTTTCAGGAAAATCCGGGACGGAAGCCACCCCCCTCGATTGTTCGATCCCACCAGCGATTCCCAGAATGGCTAAATCACCTAGTCCTTGTCCGTCAATTAATGAACGCGTAATTAGTTCCAATACTGCTGATATTAACTATCCAAAGAATATTAATATAATAACGCAGCGAAGTGATAAAAATAATTTGAATTCTGTTCCGTCTATTGAACTTGTTTGCAAAATTCCTACTAGAATTACAGTTCGTCGAAATAATTTATGTGCCAAGACAAGGCCGAGAACTCATGCAAGGAAAGTTAATGTCAACAACTTAGTATGTGTAAATTTTGTCTCAAATCCAAAACCCGATATGTTACGTTTTGCAACGATTAACGCTAGATCACTAAGAAATAAGGTAGCTGTATTCTCCGACTATATTGTTGATCAAAATATTGATGTTTGTGTTGTAACTGAGACTTGGTTGAAGGACATGGACACAACAAGCATTGCAGGCGTTTGTCTCCCTGGATATTCATTTAAATCATCTCCCCGTCAATCTAACAGATTAGGAGGAGGCACAGGCGTAATGTTTAACACCAATTTATATGTCTCTCTTTCTGGTGGAGGAGAAACGCAATCCTTTGAATTTCAGAGTTGAATTTTTCCATACTTGAATATTCTATTAAACTTATTGCTATCTATCGTCCACCTTATTCCACGGCTCACCCTGTTCTACCTGGAAAATTCTTTGAAGAATTCTCAAACTATTTGGAGGATATTGTTCTATGTCCAGAAATTCTATTGATTACCGGGGACTTTAATTTTCACTTGGATGATACGGTTAACAGAAACACGATAAAATTTAATGAGATGCTTGAAACATTTGGCCTCAAACAACATGTTTGTACTCCAACACATTCGTCCAATCATACACTGGATCTATTGATAAGTCGATCTACAAGTGACATTAATATCCTTTCGATTGAGAGTACTTTCTTTCTGTCCGACCATTGTTTTGTAGAATGTAAATTATCTATTCCTCGTCCGAATGACTCCAAAAAGCTAATTTCTTATCGTGAACTGAAAAAGATTAACATTGTTGACTTTAAACTTGATCTAAGCAATGTGAATTCACATTGCGAAAACATTGCACATCCTGATGAATTAGTGCATTGCTATGATGACGTACTTTCACGTATTTTAAATACCCATGCTCCTGTCCGAAGAAAGCTAATGAAAGTTATGCGTTCAACTCCTTGGTACAATGACGAACTAAGACAATTGAAAGTAAAGCGCAGGAGACTAGAGAGAAAGATGCGGAAAACAAAATTAGAAGTAGATTGGATATGTAACCGATATTGTTACTTGTTGAATAAAGCCCGAACTGATTATTATACTTCCCTTATCAGTGATAGCTCCAACAATCCAAAGAATATTTTCAGAATTGTGAGCTCCCTTTGTAATGCACCGCATGAAGATCCCTTACCACCTCATGACGATCTTGGTCAATTAGCAAATAGGTTCAACGTATATTTTTTCCGCAAAATTGAATTGATTAGAGAAAATGTGGACAGTATCCATGTCGATCCTCCGTTGGTGCATTACCGTAATCCTGAAGTCAAATTAGAATCTTTTGAGATACTTTCTTCCCAGGATATTCATGATGTTATTATGCAATTGTCCAGTGTCAGCTGCAAGCTTGATCCGATCCCATCATGCATGGCTTGTTAAAATCTGTTGTCTGGAACTAATTCCCTCTATCACCAAAATTGTAAATTTATCCTTGCAGGTGGGTCGTGTCCCAGATCACTGGAAAATTGCTTTGCTGAAAGCAAATCTGAAAAAGTCTAGCTTGGACCCAGTACTTGAGAACTTTAGGCCAATGAGCAATCTGTCATTTCTTTCTAAGATCACTGAAAAGGCAGCCGCCAACCAATTGCTGAACCATTGTGAAAAACATGCACCTCTCCCTACCTGTCAATCTGGCTTCAGGAAATATCATTCGACAGAGACGGCTCTGCTAAAGGTGCAAAGCGATATTCTTCTGAGTATGGACAGGCAGGAGGTGTGTTTTCTTGTACTCTTGGACTTAAGCTCAGCGTTCTATACAATTGATCATAAAACTATCATTGACGTATTGGAGTATCAATTTGGAGTGACGGATAGGGCTCTTGAATGGATAAAATCATATCTATTGAACAGGAAACAGAGGGTTGATCTGGATAACAATTTTTCTGAAGACTGCGATGTTAAGTACGGAGTGCCTCAAGGGAGTTGTCTTGGCCCCATACTTTTTCTGCTTTATGTATCCCAACTATATGACATTATTGACAGGCACTTACCCTCTTCTCATGGATATGCTGATGACACGCAACTTTATGTATCGTTTCGCCCAGATTGTGAAGATAATTCAGAAAGTACCCTAGCCATACTGGAAGATTGTATTTCTGATGTTCGTACTTGGCTGTTGTCTCATAAATTAATGTTCAAAGATTCCAAAACGGAATTTCTTGTAATTGGAACACCACAACAACTTTTGAAAATAAACATTGAATCCGTTAACGTTGGTGGGGTCCAAATTAAGCCGGTTGACAGTGTTCGAAATTTGGGATCTTGGTTTGACAAGCAAATGTCAATGTCAGTTCATGTAGGCAAGATGTGCAGTAAAGCATTCAGAGGACTTTATAAAATACGACAAATTAGAAAATTTTTATCTACTAATACAACGAAAACTTTGATACATGCTTTCGTGACATCATACGTGGACTATTGTAATGCTCTGTTGGCTGGCATACCTCAGTATCAAGTCCAGCGAATGCAGAGAGTTCTTAATGCCGCTGCTAGACTAATCTACCACTGTCCAATATTTTCTCACATAACCCCAGTTTTGAGATCACTTCACTGGCTACCGGTAAAATTCCGGGTGGAATTCAAAATTGTTTTACTGGTTTACAAGGCTCTTAATAACATTGCCACTATCTATATCTCTGAAATGCTTATCCCAAAACAATCAAGTGATCGCTGGACATTACGATCGGATGGTCACGGTCTACTATACATCCCGAAAACAAACTGTAAGACTCTAGGAGATCGGGCTTTCGCACATGCTGCTCCACAATTATGGAATTCTTTGCCTCTGGATGTCAGTAACTGTGAAAACATTTCTGTGTTTAAGAAACGCTTGAAAACATTTCTTTTCAATAAGGTTTATAACCCTTTATAGGTTGAGACCATATTGGATTCTATCATTCTTATTATAGATACATACATTAGTGTATATTCTAATTGTATACAATACCATGTTTTATATAGCATATTTAATTCTTAATATATTTAGATTTTATAATGTACAGCGCTTCGAGTATATAATATAACATATGCGCTTTATTTAAATGAATAAAATTATTATTACACAAACAGCGGTTATTTCATAATCGCCCACAAATATCAGTATTAAGGCGGTTTTCCATTCCTCGCACTAAGCTTCTCGCAGCTCGCTGCGAGTGATGCATGAGCACTTTCATCCAATCACAATGCAAAACAGTTAATTTTAATTAGATGCAAGCACTCGCGGCGAGCTGCGAGGAGCCTCGTGCGAGGACTGGAAACCGCCTTTAGTGTAAACCTACTATGGTAGGCTATCATGTATCGTGCGTTCTGATTGGCTACGCTACTAGTAGGCTACTAATGATAGCCTACTAGTAGCAACAAGTGGCTAAAGGCGCGAGAGTCAATTGCCGTTTTTACTCGCTGGCGCACCTGTGCCCCAGACGAGTATAGATTTTGGCATGCATTTGTCATGGATCTCGGATAGTGGATCGTCGATAGCCACAAAATAGAATATTAATGAGCTGCTTGATCCTTTTCAAAATGGTGGGGAATTTCGTGGAGTGGGCAAAATGTTTCAAACAATTTCGTGAAAATTTTGAACGAATTGTACCTGTTTTATATGGATTTTGCCGCATTGTGTCTAACTCTGGACATTCTTGCTAGTTTATTTAATGCGTTTTTCCCTGTGCACGACTCTGAAAATCCGAAATTTGGATCGTTAAACTCCCGTGCACGATCATAATATACTGAATCTGAATATATAAAACGAGCCAAAGACAATTTCAAGGTAAAAGGTTATAACTTAAACTGCACAACGTAGTTTTAATAAATACTGAACTACTTTATGAGAAGCATATTGGTGTCATATCAATATGAAATTGATCGAACAACAGTCCGTGAAAACTGCAGTGTGCTCAGTGTGAAATATGATATTGTATTTGTCATGCCTATTAATGGCGCAATAAGGATAAAAACACCACCTTTCGATTCATGATCAGCGTAAGAAATTGCACTTACGGATGTCAAATGTATTACTAAACAACAGTATTCTAGCGATTTATAGCCTTTGAAAGTCAAGAGAAAATTGTATTGACAAATCGCTTGCAATATGGTATTGTTGAC